ACCTAAAGACAGATAAAACTGGGAAGAGTTGTGGTTTATAGTCTTTATTTTATTATTATTACTTTTACTTGTTATAAGAGAAAACCTATCTGACTTCCGCTGCTTTTGTCTTAGTTTTCGATCTCCTTTTTGCTCTTTCCCACTGCCCACATAAACAGTGTTGTTCTGTTATGTAGACTTCTTTCCTTGCTTGGATATGAATCTGAATTGAGCATAAAAGGAAAGCTGTAAATAATCAACAAAAACTTGAGTTGAACATTAGGGTTGTATAAAAATATTTTCTTATAAAATGCTATGGGAATTGTTTAAGAATTCAGGAAAAAAAAAAAAAACAATTCCATCCTGAGTTGGACACCACTCAAGATTAGGGCCTCCCAGAAGTCAGTTGCTATGGCATATGTCTGAAAATCTAGAAAGTGAAAGTGTTAGATTTTAGTTTTGATTTGGCAAATTTCCATGAAGGAAGACTAAAACAGGGAGTAGCATGTGGGGGATAGTGAGCTTCTTCCCTTCAGAGGGATAGAATTAAAATGTTGGGAAAAAGAACTCTGGCAATGTCTAGATAGAGCAAAGTTGCGAAGTGGGTTGGGTGGTAGCCCCACCTCCCTACAGCTCCTCCCACTGTCTCTCTTCTCTGTCGCGGTGCTGACCCTGCAGCCATGTGCCCAGTCAGCTTCTTGTGCCCAGTCCTCAAAGGACCACCTTGACCACACAAGGCAAGCATGTATGTTAGGAACTCCCTCTGTTCCCCTGCTTATACTTCATTCTGTCCTGTCAAAGCCCCTCCTTATTGACTTTCCAATCCATTTTCTGTTTCTGTTTTGCCTACTCTGGTGGTCCCATAGGCCATCACTGTAATCATTGACATGCTTGTTAAAATGCAGATTCCTTGGCCTAGCCAGAGGTCAAGATCTCTGGGAATGAGGCCAGGAATCCAGATTTTGGCAAACTTCGTAAGTAAATTGGTCTCTCTAGTTTTCAAATTCTGGTTCATTTGCTTCAGTACTGAGTTTACCTTTCTTTCCTGAATCAGTAATCCTGTGGACAACCTTTTAGGTAATCTTCTGGTTCATCTTAGCCTCGGAACACCCTCCCCTTGTGCACCATTTTCTCAGGCAATCAAGCAGTCCCACTCCACACTCCTGACACCAATATCTAGGTGAGCGTAGACTTATGGGTAGGATATGGATACATAACTTGTTATTTGTAAACCTGAGATATTATCCTGCCCAGTAACCTTTGCCTTTCTAAAAGAAGACTTTATTCTTTAAAGAAATACATATCTAGGGAATTTTGTGCACTCAAGACTAAATGTGCCAACATTAATTTTAGTGGGAAATCTTGGCAAGCATTCTTCAAATCATAGCTAGAGTCTGGCTGCATATCCTGCATATCCACCCCTAATTGTAGGGGTGGCTATAGTGACTGTGAGGACAATTTACCCGTTGAAATATTTGTTCGATGAGCTAATGAGGTTATGGAAGCTTGCTGCTCCTTGAAATACTACCACATCAACTTGCTTCCTGGCAATGTGTGTAGGGAGGTCATGCCAGCCTGTGTTGGGGCATCTTTAAGAAAAGTATAGAGGTCCAGGAATATGATAAATTAAAGAGACAGAAGAGGATCTTTCTTAAGATGTTGGGCTTTTGGAATCGGTCATCACTGTGATTCACTTCTGGCAATGAAATTTCAGAGAAGTTACTTCAACTATGCCCCATTGTTCTCTAATTAAATTAAGGACAATGATACTGATTTCATGGAGTGTGGGGATTAAATGTGATAATGCACATACAGTGCGTGGCACAAGAGATCTACAGAGTAAAAACTGTTATTATCATAGTCATTATTATAACATTTGAAATGGAAAGAAGGAAGGAAGCAGTTTTGTTCTTCCACTTTGCAGAGTTTCAAATGTTCTGGGAGCACACATTTCTATTTTCACTCATGTGCTCTTTTCCTCTAACAAGCAAGCACCTTGGGGGTACCTTGCACTGCATCCCTTTTCCCACCCCATTTAGTATAAAGATGAACACCCAGGCCAAAGAGCTCTCCGGCGTGAGGGGAACGCACAGGAGAGGCAAGGGCTGCCTGCTCTGGTGATCACTGGGGATGGGCTCTGGGGTCCTGTGTTCTGGTGTACAACAGCCGCTGAGCCTTCTTCTGTTCAGCTGCTTCTTTTTAGTGTGGGGACCAACTTGGGCATCCTGCTGTGAAAGCCATCTCAGTTTGGAAAAGTGGGTGAGAGGGTAAGGGAATAAAGGGAGAGTGTGGGTGGGTGACTACATATGATGGGTGAGGGGCTTTGGAGAGACAGGTAAGGGGGGGTTTGTGAGTAGGGATGGGTGAGTTCTCACTGTTTTAGGCGGCTGGGGCTGCTATAACAGAACACCATAGACTGAGTGACATAAACAGTAGAAACCTATTTCTTACAGTTCTGGAGGCTAGAAGCCCAAGGTCACTGTGTCAGTATGGTCAGTTTCTGGTCAGGACACTCTTCCTATTTTGCCAACGGTCATGCTCTTACCTTATCCTTCCTATGGCGGAGAGCAGAGAGAGACGCAAGCTCTCTCCTGTCTCTTATAAAGGACTAATCCCTTCACGAGGGCAGGGCACCTTCCTCATGACTGAATTCCTTGCTTCCCAAAGGCCTTGTCTCATCTCATTGGGTGATGGTTTCAGCATATGAATTTTGGGGGCAGGGGACACAAAGCTGCAGTCTGTAACACATACCAAATCTCCTATGAATTAGTACACCAGGAAGGCATCTAGAGTAGTGAGATAAAAAGATAAAACCTAGAGATTTCAGCAGGGAGAATGTTGGGAGGAGAGGGCGTCCAGGGAGGGGAGCAGTGTTGGATGAAAGTAGAAAACAAACAGAAACTGGAAGTCAAAAGAAGAAAGAAAGGAATGATGAAAGTGTGTGTGTAGGGGGGAGAGAGAGAGAGGAAGAGAGAGAGAGAGAGAGATACACAATATATAGGGAATCTAGTTTTGAATCTGTATGAAAATCTCTGCAGCTACTGGAATATGTACAGCTAACATGCCATCAGAGAGTGACTGCAACAGGGCAGCCGGCCCTTAGGGTTCATGTCATTGCTGATGTCGTTTACTCACTTGTTTCTACTTAACAATCTTTTCCCCTTGCAAGCTGTCCTGCTTAAGATAAAAGCCAGGACCAAAGTATGCAAGTCTTTGATGCTGAATTTGGTGGTTGTGAGAGATGAGTCTCCATGGCCTCCATCCTCTTCCTCTGTTTTCCTGAACTGGGTAGAAATAAATAATGGTGTCTCAGAGCATTGCCTATGGGGTTCAGGGAAGCAATTTCTATAATCAGATACTCTTTTCACCTTTGAAGATGAAGGATAAAAACATTCTTGTGGTCCCCACCACCCCTAAGTGCTCGGAGCTGTGACTGAAATACTGCTCATGTGTTCTGAGCTCAGGAGCTCCATTAGGGAGTATTACTAAAGCCAGGTGTGGTACCCAAGGCCGAGCATCTTCAGTGTACAGGCAGGCCACACATGGCCAGGAATAAGTGAAAACAACTTTGCCTTTTCATGGGAATGTTTGCACTTTGCATAGTGTATTATTTCTTTGTTTATATTTTCTTCAATTTGTAGTCTTCCCTCAGCTAACTAGTGAAGAGTGAGCATACCCCTTTATCATGAATTTGGCATTTTTATTGCCACCAATATTTTAAATGACATTCAACAGTTTTAAGTCATCTGAGTATCTGAAGTGAGCTATGATTTCATTCCAAAGCTGTTTCTAGCTTCCCAGCAACCATTCTGGTTCTCCCGGGGCTCATCTGCCTCTCACCGCTCTGAAAGTCTCCAGGTTCCTTGCCACTCTTTTATAAACAATTTAAATTTTCTTCTCCTCCTGGGGAACAGAGGGTGAATGATTTCTTTTGAGAAGATTCAGCTTTAATTGCACGTCTTATTAAACACACACAATGTTTTACATATGATTTCTGGGGATCTTGGAGCGGACTTACTGATTCCTTAAATCTTATCCACGTACCCCCATTGAAAATGCCTCAATTTAAATAAAACATCTTTATTACTTGCTTCTGATACTGACCTGTTGGATAGCTGTCTATGTTCTCAAAACTCTCTTTCAGTGCTTTTGCAGTCATTGCCACTACAAGTCTGTTACCTGCTGCTTGTTGTTCTTTTGCTAGAGCTGCTGGGGATGAGGTGGCAAGGGGGACAAGCAACTGAGGGCATAGGAAGCAGATTGCCAGGGCTCACAGGGATTATCACTGATGTTTCAAAGCCTGCCACAGGTTTCCTGACATGTGTTTTCAACGCAGGGGGCTGGATCAAAGCTTGGGTGGTAGTTGTGGAGATACATGGTTCAGATCCCCCTTTGAGGAAGAATGTCAGTGGTCGGCTGACAGCCTCTAGCTGCAGGGCTTCGGCATCCACCATGGTGTTCAAACACACAGCACTTTCCCCAGAGAGCCCCAGTCCGTGGCTGAGTACGGCACGGTATCAGGCCTGGCCATTTCTGCTAACGTGCAATGTCTCTCTGAGCAATATTTGCACATGCTGGGCTGGGAGCTGCACTACAGTCTGAGGCTCTTCCTAACCAGCCCTCTTTTTCCCAGGCATCAGATCTGCATGGTGGTCTGAAGACTGTCCCTGAGTACTTCTGCTTTCTTTCCCCTTTGTCTTTCCCAGATGTTTACTCCCCCCAACCTCCTGCCTGAAGAAAACTTTTGTGCTTGTAACTCTGTTGTCATGTCTGCATCCGGACACGGCTGTATTCACAGGCAACATCACTGTCATTTCACATCATCTCACCTCCCTTCCCAGATCTCAACCTGACCTGGGAACAGTTTCCACATCTTCCCAACCCATTTCATCACAGAGTTAAGAGATTTCTGAACATTGGTTCCATCCTCCTAGTTACGCAAGTTATTAGGGTTCCTAGTACCCATCCCATTTAGCGTCCTATAGGATGTTTAGGACTTCTAGAGAAGAGACAGAGGCAGGTAAGAGTGAAACACGCAATTTATTTCTGTATAGAGATTCTTTCCAGGATCCCAGGCTGGAAATCATGGAAACCTCAGGAATGACCCCTCTGCTTATACTCTTCTCCCTGCAAATCAGGCCAATGAGGTCAGCTCCTGAGTCCCCTTTCCCCAGGATTCCACTCAGTCCTTATCTCTTAGCATTCCGTTGGCTAATAAGGAGGAGAAAGACTCTTGTTCTCTAGCTCCTCCCATAAAGTCCCCCACCATGCCTCAGTTACTGTGGTCTAGGAACTGTGAGTTCGTGAAATACATCAGGGCTCCTCCCTGAGAAAGCATGAGGAGGAGGAGGAGGAGAAAGAGATTGGCACAATACAAACATCACAGTGACAGCAATGGGATCCCACATTTTGGAAGTCACATAACGAAGATGGCTCCTTGAGGTTTCATATTCTATTACTACTGGACATTGCACCAAGGAAACACACTCAGGAGATAAACACAGGGTGATGCATTTCTAGAATAAGAATGAGACCCATGCATAGTACAAAGCATTGTGTTTCTCACATGTGTGAGCTGATGACATTTTTATAAGTTAGTGGACATTGGAGACTGGGTCAGAGGAAGGGTTGCTGGCACTCTCCAAGAAGTTTTGCCATATTGGAAACTGCCCAGGACCACCCACTTTCCCTCTTCCCATGCACAGAGATGATGCTGTTCAACCACATTCCTCTAGGTCCCCTGGACTGACTGACAGTTCCCTTTGGGATTACCTAAGAACTCTCATTCCAGAGGCTCTCTGAAGGTCCCAGTCTTTGGCTTGACTGCCCGGGTTGAGTGTGGGTTTGTAGAATTTTGTGGAGAATCTGCCCTCTCAGATGCCTCCACACCTGCTGGGCAACCTGGACTCACTAGGACTGTTGAGTTGGTTAGTGATGGCCAAAAGGGTAGGCTCCTCAAGAGCTGAAGGAGCTGTGTGTGCCCAACTCAGGGCAAAGTCCAGAGCAGGTACTCAGTTAATCCTCGTTGAGCTCAACTCTAACCTTCTCTTCTGCAGATGGGATGTCTCCAACCTCTTGACACCGTCTTCTTAGGAACGTTTTATAATCATGCTAGTTATTTACATCCCTCCAAAGTGAGTAATCCATACACAGCAAGATTTTCTATTGGAAGTATGACTAATACTTAGGGCACTAACTTTTGTTGCTGCTAAATTTTGTCTTCCATTTATATATCTGCAGTGATCTGGCTTTGCTTAGTTTATTTAATACTTTCCATGCTGCTTTGGAGAATATGGTTCTCGAGGTTTTCTGGCTTATACTGTTGCTTCTTCCCCCAGGCCTGTGGATGCTCTGGTAGAATTAGAGCCAGCAGGGCTGGCAAGGGCTGCAAAGGGGAGAACCACTCATTGTTCTCCCCTTAATGCTATGGATGCGGCATGTGTGCATCCATTGTGCAAACTACCAGGAGGACATTCATGGATGTTACGTGACGTTTGTGCTTCCAGCCATATCTGGACAAAACACAGATCTGGGAGACAGAAAAAAAATCCTGCGTGCTCACCTTCTGGAAACTCTAAATCTGAATTAGGATATAAAGCATTCAGTTCATGGCTCTTAGAAGACTGACTGTCCTTTAAGGTTGGTGAGTCATTCTACCCCTTAGAAACAGGAAGCTGGCAAAGCCATGGGGGCAGGGAGGGAGATTCAGAGAGTCTAAAGGGAAGATGCAAGATGCCCTCTTTCCAGAAGTGCAGCTGCAAAGTGCAGCCTTCTTGCATGCTGCACATACGAGCACGATGCGAGTGTAAAATTAAGAATCAAGGTTAAGGCCCCCACCCTAAAATACTCAAAAGGTCAAAGCAGGAAACCCACGTTTGTCTTCTCTGACAGTGTTCTGTAGCTGTGAAATTCAGCCTGCTAGAGCTGGATGGATGCAGGCTTTGGGATGAAGTCCTCTGCTCTGTCAAAAGCCAGAACCTTCCAGGAGAAGGAATGTACTCGGGATTTTAAGATAAATCGGAGAATGTCTGAGACAGATAGTTACAGATGGTCTTAGCAGTTGCCACAACTCCAGGAACTGGCTATTAGTTACGAGACTCACTGCTATTCTTTCTGAGACCACCAGTTTTTTTTTTGATAAAACAAACAAACAAACAAACAAAACTCGTATAATCCTTAAGATTCGAAGAGACACTTGGATCATCTAGCTCAGCCCCCTTGTTTACAAGTAGGAAAAGAGGCTCAGCTACACATCAAATGTAGTGCATATCTCCCACTTCCTGGTCTGTACGAGACATTAGCAGGCATCAGTGGACATATTCTGCTTGCATTGGCTTCTCAGGATAGTCACAGGGGACATAACACGGAAACCTGAGGTTCTCAATCTCACGATGTATAAATGCATTGAAATACTGAGATACCAAACAGGGGGAAGACATATGTTTCTTTTCACAGAGACTTAGAAGACAGGGCTAAATTTTTCATTTAAGATGTTATGTGGTGCCTTATTTTGTTCAGCCTGTCAAGTGTAGGCTGGGGTGATGGGAGCCTCCAGCTGCAGGAGGCTAATCTGAGATCAACTTTATTGAAGTAAGACAGGGCTCCAGGAAAATGAGTCTTCCGGGTCTGCAGCTGTGCTGCAGAATTCATCCTGAAATGAGCACTCGCATGCAGCCAAAGTCACTTTTAGAATCATGGAATGAATGGGCTTTTGGGAAAAGCTGGTCCAACCTTTTATTTTACAGGCCCAGCAAAGTTCAGTGATTTGGTTTGAGTCACACAGCATGACGGTGGCAAAGGTAGGAAAGAATTGAGATTTTTTTTACTCCAGGATGAAAAGTTTTCCCTAAGCCATACTGACCCTTTTTGCAAGCCCCAATGTGAGGGTATTTCTGATGGTTCCAGATGAAGGGAATTTCCATGCATGAAGGCAGGCAGGACAAAGAAGGTGGGGGCTGCAGCTGCCGAAGGCCCTGTGGCCTAGGAGATCACATTGGAGGAGAAGCTGAAGCTCTCCGTCACGGTCTTGGAGTCGCTTCGTGAGGAGCAGTTGGAGGTCAGGTCTAGGGATGAGGGTGTGGCCTTGGGGCCATCCTCTGGCTCCTCCTCGTGGCCCCCCACCACTGTGGAGATGGTGGTCTCCAGGCGGCTGACTTTATACACACTGCCCTGGGTCTGGAGGTACCGGGTAGATTTCATTTCTAGCCCCTCATAGTTGCCGGCGCTGATGAAGGGGCAGCACCGGAAGGCATGCTTGAAACCCAGACGGAACCTGGAAAGAGAGCAGATGAAGAGGTGACCCTTTGGGATGGCCTGCTCAGAGGGCTGCCCACCACTGCACCAGCTCCTTAACAGATGGATATACCCAACCGTGATTCTGTTATTATTTTACAAATTAACGGACAGCTGGAGATGCTGAGATCAAAAAGGCTTAAGGTCAACAAGGTCAAATCCAAGACTAAAAAAAAAAAAAAAAAAATCCCCCGGGCGCTGTGGCTCACGCCTGTAATCCTAGCACTTTGGGAGGCCGAGGTGGGTGGATCACCTGAGGTCAGGAGTTCAAGACCAGCCTGGCTATCATGGTGAAACCCCATCTTTATAAAAAAAGAAATAAGAAAAAACAATAAAAATAAAAAAATAAAAAAATCCAAGACTGGAACCAGCTTCATGTGAAATATGTCTTTCCTAGGGGTGGCCCTGAACTATGCCATATCTTCTGGCATGGGGTCAGCCCACTTTGGGTCAATTCTACATCAATAAAACACATTCATCAAGTATTTAGTATGTGCCTGGTACTGTGCTAGTTACTGGGTGGTAAAAACACATGTCAAGACTCAGTCCTTTCCCTCAAGTAGCCCGTTGACTGAAGGAGGACTCTCTGCCAATCATGTTCCTTCAGTGTGCCTCAGTTTCCCTGGTTGTTAAATAGGGAGAATCAGACTTTATTTAAAGTCATGCTGTTAGATTTAACCTAAAAAAAGTATAGGCAGGTCATGAAACTCTTAGAAGCAAGGGTAAATCTGTGAGTTAGACTAACAGAGACCATTTAGACAAGTTGAAGAGAATGTCTCTCCCCAAATTCCTAGTACCCTAGTGTCTAATTCACAGAAGGCACCTTACAGGCTGAGGACTGGTGGATATAGACGGTAACAAGCATTTTATTCCTCTCCTTCCTCTCCCGTGTCCTCTCCCACCCAGAGGCTGGGGTGGTGCTCTGGAAGACAGACTGTGCTGTAGCCACTGTGTGTCCCAGGCTGCTCTTGGGAGCCCTCTGCACCCATGGTGAATTCCCTCTAGGCCTCGCCTTCTCTTACTTGTCTGAGCTTGGCTTCTGCTACAGGATGGCTCTCCCCAGCCTGTTTGACTAAGTGAGGGCAGGAATCAGGCCTCTGGGTCACAACTCCTTTTTGCCTTACCTTGTCCTGCAGGACCTGCTGGAAGAAAGTGGGTAAAGCTGCCCGGATTATAAGATGGAAGGGGAAGAAGACAGTGAGAGATCAGAGAGGGCGAATGTGCTCTGTGGGTGATGGAATTCGCCTTCTGCATACATAGCCCCCTGCGCGATGGATCCATAAAGCAGAGTGAACAAACTCACGGTCCATGGCCTGGAGACTGGATCCAGCTTGCGGACCTGCTTTATACACATTAACCACAGAAGTTTTTAACTCCCCACTAGTTGCCAGTATTTAAAAATCAGAAGACTTTGCACAATAATATGGATTTCTGGTTCCCCTTGGAAAAGAAAAAAAAATCAGTCCACCCTGGGGTCCCATTCCTGGATGGTGATAATCAGCCAGGCTGAGTGGTGTGGTATGGCAAGTTGGCTGCAGTCCCCACTTCTCCCTCTTGTTTCACAGCTGGGTTTACTCGTTTAGGATGGCTCCTTGGCCCCCGTGTGGATACATGGTTTTGTGGCCTCTGGAGAGCTTATGGGGTTGGGATCCTCACCTGTCATTGAGGCAGCAGTAGATGATGGGGTTGTACATAGTGGAGCTCATGGCCAGCCACATGATAGCCAGGTAGACCTGCTGGATAAACTTCTTCAGGTATAGATCCGGGTTGATGTAGGGCAGGAGGAAGAAGATGTGGAAGGGCAGCCAGCAGATGGCGAAGGTGCACACCACGACGATCATCATTTTGACCACCTGGCAAGAGGGTGAGACCTGTGAGGCCACCAGCACACATCCTCGTCTCTCATGGCTGCTTCCTCTCTCCCCCCACGGCCTCGCTGCGCACAGTATGGGATGAAGTGGGAAGTATTTAAAATAAGTCCCTTCAAGGAGGAGGAAGGGTCCTTACCATGGTGGTGCTACAGGACCGGTTAAGTCAGCTGTTCTCAGAGTGTGGTCCCAAAACCGGCATCATCACCATCCCCTGGGAACTTGTTAGCAATGCAGATTCTTGGGCCCTATTTCAGACTTACTGAATCAGAAACTCTGGGGATAGGACACAAAATTCTAAGTTTGACAAACCCTTCAGGTGATTCTGATGCATGCGCACATTTGGGGACTACTGTGTTACATGATCCTTCATGACTGGAGAAACCCAGGGAGAAAAATTAATGAGCAAAGGTGAAAGGGTGTACAGGAGGGAAAGGCCTGGGGCAGGGAGCTGGGTGGGCGGGCACAGCAGAAGGAGTGGGGCGAGGGGAGACTTGATGAGTTAGGGCAAGCTGCTTGGTTTGGAGACTGAGGTGGGTAGGGAAGGAGAAGGGAAAAGATTTGACTAGCTGTGGTCAGAGAGTGCCAGAAGTTTAAAAGGGATTTAAAAGAGGTTTTGTGAATACTGGGCACTATGATCTGAATATTTATGTAGCTTCAAATTAATATGTTGAAATCCTAACCCTTAAGGTGATGGTATTAGGAGGTGGCCTTTGGGAACAGATTAGGTCTTCAAGTCAGAGCCCTCATGAATTAAATTAGTGTCCTTGTAAAATAGGCCTGAGAGAGACCCCTCGCCTCTTCTACCATCTGAGGACATAGAAAGTGTTATCCGTGAACCATGAAGCAGGCCCCCGTAAAACACCAAATCTGTTTCTGCTTTGACCTTGGGCCTTCCAGCTACCAGAGCTGTGAGGAATCAATTTCTGTTGTTTATAAGCTCCCAGTCAAAGGCATTTTGTTATAGCAGCCCAATGGACTAAGACACTGGATGATGTAATTTTTTCTTTCTTATTACCAAGACATCCTTAGCAAAGAACTCTGCAGCATTCATACAATGCTATGCAGAGAAGTATCAACAGAGAATACTATGCAAAGACGTACCAAAGGGGGAAAAAAAAGTAATGAGTAAGCTCTTTATATACTGATTTTCAAAAATCTTGTCAATTTTAAGTGAAAAAAGTGAGGAGAACAATGTGTATTTACTATTTGTGTAAAAAAGAAGAGAAAATAATATATATTTAGTTGCTTATAAATGCCAATATCTAGAAGGGTTAAGAAACTGATAGCAATGGTTACCATTGTGTGCATATCTCTGTGTGTGTGTGTGTGTGTGTAAGCTTGGGACCTGGGTAGATGGCAGATCTAGAAGGGAGAGAGGCTTTCCCTGATAAGAATTTAATTTTTTTTCAACGTTTCATTTTGAACTAATTTAAGGCCCTCAAGAAGTTGCAAAAGTAACGCAGAACAGTTCCAGGTGCTCTTCACCTGACTTCCTCCAGTGATATCATGTCACGTAACCATGCTCCATTATCAAAACCAGGACACTGACCCTTTGCCTAACTACTGACTCTCTTTGGGTTTTTGCCGGTTTTTATATGCACTCTTATTTTGATGTATAGATCTATGAAATTTCATCACAAATATAGATAAAAACACCACCACTGTCAGCATACAGAGCTGCTCCATCACTGCAAAGAAACTCATTCATGCCCTCACACCCTCTGTTTATAGGCCACTCTCCCCAAGCCCCCAAACACTAACTCCTGGCAACTCCTGATCCATTTTTCATCACTATAAATTTGTTTCTTTGAATGCTTTTTGATGTTTGAACCATGTGAATGTATTATCTTGTCAAGCTTTAAATAAATAGTAAAAAGAGGATCAAATAACTCTTCACTGCTTTTTTTGAGTGTGTGTGTATGTGCACGCATGTGTGTGTTAATGGATCAGCAGGTTGCAATTACTCTTAAAGAGCAAGCAAGGTGGCTCATGCCTGTCCAGCCAGACCTGGGTTGCAAAGACACTGAAGAAAGATCCCTCCCCTCCTCTCTGTTGTTCCCCCCGGACCTAGGGATATTTTGTGCGTGCTGCCTCGGGGTCTCACCAGTGTTTTATCACTACTCGACAGCCTGTTGTCTGTGCCAGTTGGGGTGGGTTAGCGCAGCTTGTCCCCCGCTCACCTTGCGCTTGGCAGAGACTTGCTCGTGGTAACGGTCAGAGGAGTCCCCAGGGATCTCACTGGCCCATAGTGTGATTCCCACTACGGTGTATGCATAGCCAATCACCAGCAGGGGGAGGAAGTAGATCAGCACAGTCACACAGATGTGGTACCTACATCAAGGTGAACAGGAAAGGTCAGTATAAGATACTTATTATTTTAGATTTTTTTTTTGTTATTGTTATTGCAGGGGCAGTCAAGGCTTGGCAGCCACTTTTCTCAGCATTTGCCATTAATAAGCTTGGGCTTTAAAGCACAATCCAGGGAGACTTGCCACCTGCATAGAGTGGATGGGTGACACTAATGAATACACTACAGAAAACAATTCTTTTCAATTTATGTTTTTCTTGTGGACTTTTTCCATAATGGATACTCCTGTTCAGATTGAAAAAAGAAAAAAGAAAATATTGATGACAGGAAACTGAATCCGTTGTATACCTATAGTAATTTCAGTTGATATTCAGTTCAATATCACTTTCCCTCTCCCCGAAAAAGAATGCAAACTCAGGCTACATTAATAGAAGTATAATTTCTAGAATGAAGGAGGTGATTATACCACTCAATTCCTACCTGCCAGGCCACACTTATGCTCAATTTAGTGCAGGGTTGTAGACCAACTAGTACATTCAGTTGAGATCTACCATGATGGTTGATAAGGCCCAGTTCATGCTATGTGATAAGGAGATTTATGGGCATCAGAATAATTAGCTTGAAGGAGAGAGGTAAGACCAATCCAAGAACTAGAAGTAGGATTAGTGGGTGGGTGAAAGTCACATAGTGCAACCCATTTCTAAGCCTGGACTTTAAGGGTGTATCTTCAGATAGAACCTGTACCACTTGGAGGACAGATGCCAATCGCCTCACATTCGCCTGGGACATGAGCAAGAAATAAATTTGTGTGGTGTTAAGCCGCTGAGATGTTGAGGTTTGTTACAGCAGCACAATGTATCCTTTTCTGTTAAAGGAAAGGCTCCTTCTAGGTAGAAGACTTAAATATGTGGAAATCCTAATACTACTACTACTGCTAGGAAGAAGAGCTAATATTTGGGGGCACTTACTCTAGGTCACTGTGCTAATAATAATGCTAATGGCAGTGTTAATAGCAGAAATGGTAGTTAAATTTGAGTTGATGAAAAGCACAAAGCCAAGCCTTTTACTAGCATTATCTTATTTAATCCTTAAAGCAAATGATTGGGTAGGTACTATCAATCCCATTTTGTAGATGAGGAAACCAAAGTTTAGAATTCAATTAATTTTTCCAAATGCACAGCTGGTAAAGGGAGGAGCTGAGATTAGAAGTCAGGTCTGTGACGTCAGAAAGCCAGCTTCTTGTCAATGAAGAAAAGCCATTCAATGATTTTTTTCAGCCACTCTGTTTACACATGCTTATTCTATGTGATGATTTTCTTCTAGTGAGGAAAACCCACTTATTCACTCAATCTCTCCTTTTTAGATACTGTTTGGTTTAAATCACTTCTTTGTAAAGCCCCACAGTTTTTGCTGCTTATTCAGTCCCTCTGCATATAAAATTTGCATTTGAAGATACTTGAAGAGCACTTAAGTGATAAATCACAGATTGCGCCAAGCAGAGTGCTGGGTGCATGTGTTTTGTGCAGACAGGCTGCTCCAGTCTCACCTGGCTTTCAAAGCCCTCTGAATTGTCGCCTCCTGCAGGAGCCTCAGGGCTCTCCAGCCACCAAGGTGAGGACTGCATATTGTGCTTCCTGGCTGATCTCAGTCCCTCCTGGTCACTGTAATGACATTGCTTGTAAGCAAAATGTTTGGAGACTACAGGAACAAGGAGAACCTAAAAACCTCCAAATTGCACCAACCTCTCCCATCTGGAATAACAGCCCTGCTTCATGCAGACTGATACTTCGTGACCAAAACATGTTAGCTGAGCTTTGCCAAGACATTGCTGCAGGGCACTGAGAGAGACTGGGTTGGAGTGTGATGGGAGGGACTCTACGGCCAACTCCCTGATGCTCCTTACCCTGGACCAGTGGTCCTCAATCTCGAGTGGGCTTCAGAATCACCTGGAGGGCTTCTACAACCGCACAGGGCTGGGTCCCACTCGGAGTTCCTGACTCAGCAGGGCTGGGGTGAGCCTGAGAATCTGCATTTCTAACAAGTTCTCAAGAGGTGCTGCTGTTGCTGTTTGTGGTTCAGACTTTGAGAAACATTGCCTTAGGCCAACAGTTCTCAACCCCAAATGCACAAGAGACTCACCAGGGAAACTTTTAAAATGAGTGATTCATCCAAGTGGCTTGGGTGTGGGAGCAGGAAATTATATTTTAGAAACTTCCCCCAAGTTATTCTAATAGACGGCTAGCACCGAGAACTGTTTCAGACCCTAGGTCTGGAAGCCTGTTGGGACTCCTTTGTTGTCCATGATTTAATGACTTTATTAAAGTGTGTATTAACTGGGTTTTCTGGTTCTGTATCTGATGCTTTAGCATCTGGGGCCCTGCAGCTCAGGGAGGAACTGACTCAGGCGCAGCTAATTCCTTGAGAAAACAAACAAGTTTCCACTTGGGTGCCTTTCATATGCAAACGAACGGAAACAAAGCCCAAGCTTCCACTTGCTCACTTTCTTGGGCTCTTACAGGGTAGGACACTATTTTCCTACCCTAATCACCCTAAGGCAGGCATCAAACAATGAGGGGCCCCTCCTACAGCCTGGAGCCTGTTGAGGTTATTCAAACCAGCCAATCCTAAATCTGTGTACCTGGCCTTGCCAGCTCCTTCCTGAGGAAACCCCAGTAAAGGCCTTCCTGTGTGGCTTGGTTTGGTGTGGGGCCATGCCCCTTCAGCTTGGGAACTGTGAGTAATAAAGTGTCTTTCCATGGCAACCATGCCCTAATCTGTTGGCCTCACCATACCTGAATACAAAATACAATCTGCACTTTCCCTTCGTGAAATCACAGATCTGGTCATTATGAACATGCGAAGATAAATATATAAACATAATTTTCCAGCCTTTTAAAAATCATTCCCTTTTTAAGAAGCAAAAGTAATTTTGTTATTATTTGAAAACAACAAAAAATATGGGCTTAATTTCAGCTAAAGGGTGTTACCGTCAAGAGCATTGGTTTTTCCATGTTCCTATAGGGATACTTAAATACAACATAGAAATAGAATCCAGCAATTCTATTTTTAGGTATAGATACTAAAAATTGAAAGCCAGGACTCAAACAGACATTGTTTGAATCTACATGACATCATTCACAATAGCTAAAATGTGGAAACAACCCAAATGCCCATGAACAGATGAATGGACAAACAAAATGTGGCTTATACATGCAATGGAATATCATTCAACCTTAAAAATGAAGGACGTGATGACCTGTGCTACAACATGGATGAAGCCTGAAAGCGTGAATAAGCCAAACACACCAAAAAAAGCACTGCAGGATTCCACTTATACGCTCTGCCTAGAATAGGCAAATTCATGGAGACAAAAAGTAGATGAGAGGTTACCAGGAGTTGGAGGGAGGAGATGGGAGTTATTGTCCAATGGGTACAGAATCTGTTTGAGATAAAGATGTGGATGATTTTGTTTGGGGGTGGGTGGGCAGAAAATTTCAGCTGTTACAGAAAGGTTGAAATAAAGAAGTAGCTCTGGAAATGGATAGTGGTGATGGTTGTACAACATTGTGAATGTACTTAATGTCGCTGAATGGGACACTACAAAACAGCAAATTTTGTTATGCATATTTTATCACAATAAAAAAATTAATAATAAATTATGTAAGAAAAATTGAGCTAAGCTGGCATTCTAGGTTTCCAGGTTTGCAGTCTTTTGCTCCCCTACTTGACAGCTACACCTTCCCCGTGCCACCTCCCCACCAAAAAATGAAAGGCAGATTTGATCTCTGGACAGGATCAAAGGTTAAACATATCCTTCTAAATATTGCTCAGATAAACCCCATTTGCATGGAAATTGTAAATGCTCAATCCAAACAGTGTCCAAGTTATCAAAAATTATAAATGAATGTAGGTTAAATGAAAGAAATTCCATTATTAGAAAATGTAAATACATTTTTCACCTTGATGTCTTTTTAGAAAACGTTGTTGTTTTTTTTTTAAACCATATCTTGTAGTTAACTGGAGATACACCTATTTATATGTATATATTTGTCAAAGTCATTATTTTAGAGAGTGGGTCAATGAACCAGGATGATCTTATTTAGTGTGGCTCCATGCTTGCTTTCACTTTCATTCTGCTATTTCCTAGATTTCTACCAGTTAGGATTTTACCAGCTCTCAGAATTAATATCTGCCTTGGGAGAAGAGGTCTGGGGTTGAGGATGCCCTGCAAGTGAGCATAACAGCAACAGCAAGAGGCAACAAAAGAAGGGACTGCCTGGCTCCCACCTGGTAAGATATGTGCTGGGTTGTCATAGACATCAGAGAAACCAGCACAATGATTTTGATCATCAAATCCTGCTGATGGACTTATCAGAACTTTCAGAAGGAAGGATCAAGGAACAATTTTATGCCTTTGTTTGTTCCTGTAAGCAGTGAATGGGGCTTGACACATTTTACAGGATAAGCTTGCTGAATGCAGACCATGTAGCCCCAAATCCTGCAGATTCCCTTGTCCTCAATGCTGTGATAGCTTCATGGTCACTAATCTGGGTTTCCTTATGTCTTACTAGTTGAGACTGTTGTCAAAAACAAGAACAGTTTCAGTTTCTGAAATAATCCTCAGCATTTGAAATCAAGGTTGATAGGTTTATTAAATAATCACTAGGTGTCTTCATAATGTACTTGGTGGAGACTCTAGGTGTCTTAAGGTAGGAGAAGAAGGTGGCCAAAAAGGCACAGCTCTGGGTTCTCCATCTTTATTCTAATGAGATAGCTCTGCTTTGCTGAGTTTATATATTGGCTTTCTGTGGATGGTGTTGTTTGGGGATGGGTGGGTAGACAATTTCAGCTGTTACAGAAAGGCCCAAGAGCATTGATACAATCCCGACCCCGATCCAGTGCCTTATCCTTCTTTGCAATATCCACATCACATAATCATCTAGCATCTTCTTGAATACCCCCTGTGACATGCTGCTCACTACTTCCAAAGCTGAGCTACATCAGCGACCCTTGGAAACTTATT